GGTCTCGAACTCCTGACCTCAGGTGATCCAGCTGCCTTGGCCTCCCAAAGTGCTGGCATTACAGGTGTAAGCCATGGTGCCCAGCCAGGTCTAGGTTCTTTGATTCAGTGTTCCTATTTAGCAATTCTAGATTGCTGCCACAACTAAGGCAAGCCATAGACACAAGCAACACTTCTCTCCACCCGGTCTCCATTGTGATATTACCTACAGAAAAATTCAGTAGGTACCTAATCAGTACTCTAAACTCCTTTGCCTCACCTTTTCATTGTACCCCTACCTTGAATGAACCCTACCATCCATATTCTCCCCTTTGATAATGGAACAGCTGACCACTATTAGAGAAATGTGCATAGCCATCTGTATTCTATTACTAAATTTCTTTTTTTTTTTTTTTTTGGAGGCACTCTTGCTCTGGCACCCAGGCTGGAATGCGGTAGCGTGATCACTACTGCAGCCTCGACGTCCCGGGCTCAAGTGATCCTCCCACTTCAGCCTCCTGAGTTGCTGGGACTACAGGTGCACACCACCGTGCCTGGCTAATTTTTTAATTTTTTTGTGTATATACATCTCACTATGTTGCTCAGACTGGTCTGGAACTCCTGGCCTCAAGCAATCCTCCCACCGTGGCCTCCCAAAGTGCTAGGATTATAGATGTGAGCCACTACACCCAGCCTACTTAATTTCAATCACCAAGCACAACTCAACCCTCAATACTTCCCAGCAATCCTATTAAATTTTTCCGGATTGTTCTCCCTCTCTCAGCAACTCTTTCACACCTTTGCCAATTTCCTAAAACTTCCAACCCTGCCCTTTCACATCTTCTCAAAGCACATGACTTTTTAAGTCACAGAGGAATTTGAAAATATCAGGACCAATGTGACTTGAGACATGCTGAGCAAAGAAGAGGGTATTAAGGGATAAAGTCAGATAAGGCAGATCAAGGTAGGGGCCAGTATGGGCCTTGTAGGTCATCTTAAGCAGTTTACATTATTGCAGTGGCAATTATTAAAGGGTTTTAAGCAGAAGAGTGAAACTATATGATCTGTGTTTTTGAAAGGTAACTGGGCCGGGCGCAGTGGCTCAAGCCTGTAATCCCAGCACTTTGGGAGGCCGAGACGGGTGGATCACGAGGTCAGGAGATCAAGACCATCCTGGCTAACACGGTGAAACCCCGTCTCTACTAAAAAAATACAAAAAAACTAGCCGGGCGAGGTGGCGGGCGCCTGTAGTCCCAGCTACTCGGGAGGCTGAGGCAGGAGAATGGCGTAAACCCGGGAGACGGAGCTTGCGGTGAGCTGAGATCCGGCCACTGCACTCCAGCCTGGGCGACAGAGTGAGACTCCGTCTCAAAAAAATAATAATAAAATAAAATAAAAAGATAACTGACTGCTTTATGGAGAATGGACTATGAAAACAAAGCAATTATGAGGCTATCTCAATAGTCCAACTAAGTAGTGATAATAGCCTGAACTAGGGTTGTGGCAGTGGAGGTGATAAGCGGTCAGATGGAGATAGAATTTGAAAGCAGAGCCAAAATATTTGCTGATGGCTTGACAGTGGGTTTGATGCAGGAAACAAGGATGCCTACTATATTTGGAGCTTGAGCGACTGGGTGAATGGTGGCATCACTTACTGAAACATGTTATTTGAGGTGGTCATTAGACATCAGGGTAGAGGTGTTGTGTAGGCACTTCCATAAACTAAAGTACAAGACTGAAGGTCAGGAAAAATTAGAGCTGGAGATAGAATTTTACCAGAGTTTACACCAGCAATATTGAGAAGTGGCATAGGATAAAGGTGAAGAGGATAAAAGTTATTGAAGCAGATGGACCTGAATTTGCCTCTGCCCCTCTTGTTGCTGTCTGTAACCTTAAGCAAATTACTAAGCCTCTCTTTTAGAGGTTTACTTTAGAGGATCATAATTCCTGTTCTCATAGGATTATTTGTATCAGATAAAATTATGTATTTAAAGCACTTGACACAGTACCTGGCACATAGTTAAGTACTCACAGAATCAGAGCTTTTAAAAAGTGTCATAAGTCACCTTTATAATCTTTTAATCAGTTTTTGTTTGTTTGAGATGGAGTCTTGCTCTCTCACCCAGGCTGGAGTGCAGTGGCATGATCTCAGCTCACTGCAAGCTCCGCCTCCCGGGTTCAGGCAATTCTCCTGCCTCAACCTCCTGAGTAGCTGGGACTACAGGCACACACCACCAAGCCTGGCTAATTTTTGTATTTTTAGTAGAGACAGGGTTTTACCATGTTGGTCAGGCTGGTCTCGAACTCCTGACCTCATGATCCTACCGCCTCGGCCTCCCAAAGTGCTGGGATTACTGTCATGAACCACCACACCAGGCCTAATCAGTTTTATTTTAATTATGCTTATATGTACACAGCCTGTGTCATCCCCATTTTCTAGGGAAGACAATTGGTCTGATTTTTTCCTCAGAAACCTTTTCCATGATCTCATGACTTCATTTTTTATTAATATCATGAAAAGTATTACAGTGCTTCTGAATTTTTGGGTCTCCTATCCATGGATAAACCATGATAACCATGGTTTGATGGTTAATTAACTTTCGTTCTATACATATTTTTATAGAACTAATTAGTTAACATTCATTCTATACATATTTTGGAAACCATCTTAGATTCAGGTTAGGTTATGGTGCTATTTAAGGAAAACCAGTAGAACAACTTCTCTCTGGCCCCAGATTGGCCAAGGGATGACCCACATACATTATTTTGTTTTGTTTTTTAATGACTTGTTCTTAAAGGTATTGCATGTGTTATTGTTTTCCCAGCTATGGTGATTACTAGCTAGAAGCACAGTAGTCTCTAAACAACAACAGGAAAAGGTTCTTGAAAAAGAAAATACACAAATTAATTCCTTTTTGGTGCCGAGATAATCATTGTTGGTAATTTGGCATTCCCGTTGTCCCCAAGTCCTAGTAAGGTAAAAAAATATTGGTATACATTTATAAAATATCTATTCATGGGGCAAAATTCCATAAATATTTATATGTTAACCAAATGATTATGTACTGAATACCAACAGGAAGACTATGCAGGTGCTTTTCAGATAAATATAAATTACAATAGCAGTGGAATTTTTCTAAGGGCAGATAATAGAAGTGTAAGCTATGGAAAAGCCAACTGTACCAACTGTTACAGTTGGCTCAGGACAGGGGTTTCCTGGGACACTGAATTTTCAGTACCCACCCTGGGAAGTCCCAGACAAGCTAGGATGGTTTGGTCACCCTACAGGGCCTCTGACCAAAAATTCTTGTATGTAAGCAACTGTCTCTAAAATCAAGTGAGAAGAAATTGCTTTTTGTCATTTTGTTTATAAAATTACTGTTAATGCAGCAGT